GATAAACTTATTATATCGTGTACACTACAGTGTAGAACAATTCGCTTATGTTGTCTCTCTTGTTTAGGTGTTCATCTGGGAATTGTCAGCCGATGGTGGTGGGGTGGAGGCGGTGGAGTTGGGGAGGGGGGCGGGTGCGAAGCGCATTCTGCTACGTCAAACATGTCATAGGTGTAGCTGCCGCGTCATTGTTGTAGCAGCTTTAGTTTGTTGTCACTTGGGAGGGTGGCAGAAATACGCTGCAATTTGTTAAAAAATGCAGAATCAATCTAAAAAACACTTCTGCTACATATACAAGGCCCACACATCACTCTTAGAGGGTAGAAAGCTCTGAAAAGTTGATTTTGCATGAGATGGGCCATTTAAGAGAATCGAGAGAATTAAAGATTTAAAAGAGAATTTGAGAGCAGAAACAAAGAGCAGCAGCGTAATCTGCCATACATATACACTGATTACCACACACGCCATCAAACGCCTTACGGTACGACAACAAAAACTAGTCCCTGCTAACCACCCGGTTCCACAATAATAAATGGTTTGAGAGTTTGTGTTTCTTGCAATTAAATCACATGTTTTTGGAAATACCAGAGTATGAGCAGATGTTTTGTGTGTCAGATTCTAAATATGTTTTAGAAGTTCCATCCAAACACTGAGGTAACGCTTAGGTTTATTCTCTCATTTATTAAAAAAAAAAAACCTTACTCAGTTTATTATTTGGATTATACTTTCTGAAAACTTGAAGTACTACCCATTTCTGCTTCAATTTGCAAGGGGCACCCAGCCAGGATCTTGATCAGAACATAACTGATGGAGTAAAATTCCACAAAGTGAAATTGCCAGATTGACCCAAGATTTGCTGCGTTTCAACTCTAAAAACAATAATATTTCTGTTTAAAAAAATATACCTCTATACCTCCACTCTGGTCCGCAGTGGGCAAAGGGCCAGCCAAATGAAAACGCAGAAATCAGAAAGCAATAAAGTTGATCCAGTGATTCGATTTACAACAATCCTGTTTTTACTGGAGCAGTGAGAAAGAGCTTTTGTGTGATGAAATGTAATTCGATTTAGCCGCCAGTGGAAGACATTAGGAGAGCGGGACTGCAGCCAACACCAAGTCCCGCCCACATCTCCACCAGGTGAAACAAAACAACACAAAATGGATTTCAGATTACACTGTACTAAAGAACGCACTGAGCTCTGAGCCTCCACTGAGTCTGAAGAAATGTTTACAGACCACACAGCGTGGACTATCAGAGCGGTTTGGGCTGAAAACAAGTGCTTCTTTCATGACAAATCAGTAATCAGAATTTAACTTGTACCTGGAAAAAGCAAGTGTACATTTCCTCTAATGGAAGATCCAGTAAAGCAGAGAGAAGGATTTCAGCATGTTTGACAAAATTTGGCCAAACATTTAAGTTTTAGCAGATTATTTGACGTGTCTTTTGAAATCACTTCCTTTCTTTTTGAATTGGGGAAAACAGACTGCAGTGCTTGACTCTGTAGTCTGATTCATTCATGATGTATGTAATGTGCTGCTAACGGGGCTAACTGGTATATTTTCCCCAATCCCGTAGGAAGAAGGACAATAACGTCTTTTCCCTTGATAAAATTCACCAAACATTCTCTTTGTTCCAGCTTGAAATCCTCAATTTCAGAAATCGTTCACAACTTCTGGGGTTCTTGCAAACCGCCTAATGTATTCTGATTCCTGTCACTGGAGAGAAATGAAACTGAGTAGAGGCACTAGGTGGCGCCAGCCTGACTGGGTCCTTGGGTCTCCCTGTTTGTAAAAGTAGTTCTAAAGTTGTGCACATGGCCAAAAAGTTGCATGTGAATATTATTGTGTTCATGTGATGTTCACGAATATTTAAAGAACACATATTGTGTTTGAACCTGCTACATAGTAATAATCACACTATACTACACTACACTATATAGTAATGATCATTATGTTTGTACATTTTAAATCACAATATTCATTTAAAACTTATTATTCAATTATTACTTAAATTATTAAACTAATTTAATAAAAGAAACAAGTCCTCTGACTTCAAGGGTAAAAAACTGTGGTGTCCAGTGGGAGCTGACATCACCATAAATGTCGTCTCAACAAAGAGTCGTCTGGATGGATAACTGCAGACAGCATTTGTACCAAGATGACTACGCAGTGCTGCCGAATCCAACAAGTATCACAGATTAAGACAATAAAATAACAGAATGAAGTAAAAGAGCATGTGGGCGTGTGCTGGTTGCAGTCAGGCCCAGGGTTTCAAAATGGCCGACTATTTAAATCAATAAGATGAGCTCAATGGTGCATGATTCCAGATTAGCCTTTAGCTAAGGCTAAAGGCACACACGCATGCACGTGAGCGCATGCACGTGAGCGCATGCACGTGAGCGCATGCACGTGAGCGCATGCACGTGAGCGCATGCACGTGAGCGCATGCACGTGAGCGCACGCACGGAGTGCGGGCTTGTGTATCACGAGGTCGCTTTGACCAATCAGAGCGAGAGGAGCTAGAGCAGAGCAGAGCGGAGCTGGAACTAATTTTTTTTAAGACTACTGAAGAAAAGTTTATGATCTAAAAAAAAAATTGCCACAAAATCCGATATTTTTGAAAGTTGTAGGTGCCCTGTCAGCCGAACACGAGCAGTTTGTGATTACATTGTGTTCTATGAGAAAAATCCTCTCTCAACCCATGGGAATTCTTCCTCTGAAGTTCCAGTGAGTGTCACTACGTCATCTGGAGGCAGCTACGAGCAGCAACACCCTGTCCACTTCTTTTAATAGATCCATGGTTGTTGTGGAAAGTGGGTTGCTCTGCAAAATGGCGTCTTGAAAATAAATGGTTAAAGATTAGTCAAACATGCACAAATTACTCCAAATACAACTATGACAACATAAATGAGAACAAGAAACAACTACAACATGGTTCAAAGCTCTGAAAAGTCAATTAGGTCTGCTTTAACAAACTGAGATATTGTATAGATAAAGTTATAATCATGCAGCCTCTTCAAAAGTCCTGAGCTGACTGATGTTGTATTGTCTTGTGTAGTGCCCCACTTTCCTGCTCCTAATTGACAGCTCCTGTGTGAAAGTGCGTTGGTAAACTTTGGTTTGATCAGCTTCAAGTGTCATGAAGGATCTCTGCATCAGCGTTTCTCCAACTCTCGCCTCTCCTCTCCTCCTCAAATATTCCCTCTCTCTTTTCTTTCTCCCCTCTCTCTTTCCTACTCTTTTCCACCAATTTTGTTAAGATCTCCTCCTGTCTTTCCCTCCCCATTCCGCCCTCTTCTTGTCCTCCTCTCCCTCTCTTTTCCTCTCCCCTTCTCCCTTTTCTCCTCTTTACTCTTCTCTGCTAGGCCTCCTCTTTCTTTCCCCCTCTCCTCCCCTCTCTCCTCCCCTTGTCTTTTCCCATTCTTCCTCCCCCCTCAGCTCTCCTCTTCTATTCCTCCCCTCGTCACAGCCCTCTCTTCCCTCAGCTCTCCTCCTCTCTTCCTCCCCTCATCACCCCCTTCTCCTTCCCCTTACACCCCGCTCTCCTCTTCTCTCCTCTTTCTCCTTTCACCATCCTCTCCCCCCTCATCTCTTCTCATCCTCCTTCCCCTATCACCCGTCTCTCCTCCTTCACCTCTCTTCTTTTCCTCCTCCCTTTGCCCATCATAAATTCCCTCTCTCCCCCATCTGTTCTCCTCGCATCATGACCCGCTCCCCCTCGACTCCTCCCCTCTCTGCTCTCTTCATTACCCTCCCTTCCCTCTTCTCCTCTTTCCTTCATCGCCCTTTTATCTCATCACCCCCCTTTTCCTCTCTCAATCCTCTTTCTCCACATCACTTTGTTCCCTCTGTGGATGAGAAGGGCCCACACTTGGAGTTGTGTGATTCGGGTGCTTTGGGAGTCTGTGTGGAGTCTGTGTGTGTGTCTCTTGTGCTGAGGAGGTAACCCACTAACACACATTGAGTGTGGCATGAGCCTGAGAGGACAGGTGATGGAGCCCACTGCTTCTGCTTTTCCTCTCAGCATTGTCCACATGTGGAAGGTGTTGTTACAACTGAACTCACCAATGACTTCTACACATGACGATTATTCTTCTGTATATTTGGAAATCTGATGATGTGTTTTTTTTAAAGGTGTACTATTTATATACTGTCATGGAGGAGCGTCTGCTACTGTCTTGTTTCTGTGGAGATGATACCGCTTTGCCTGAAATGTTCCACAGTACTTACCTATGTTGGATTTATTAAATTGGCTGATCCATCAGTCCGACCGTGCATACTGCTGTGTGGTGCTCTTTGGAGAAGTGAGTCCTGTGTGCGAGCCAAGGTGAACGCCCCCTTTTTATACCATTTGTCTTATTAGAAGAAAACAAAACGTTTCTCTATAAAAAAGAAAACAAAAAGCCCTCGCCCAGCGCACACCACACTCACAACGCGTAAACATCATGCCCCACACTAACCCTAATATTCGTAAACCCGAACCACAAGTCTAACTCCTAGCCCAAACCCTAACGCTAGGCCCAATCCTAAACATAACCCTAACCTTAAACCTAACCCTAGTCGTAACCCTAATCCTAACCCTTCCATTTTTTCTCAATGTTTTCTAAATGTTGGTTGCCCCCTGACCTCCCATTGACTTCCATTCATTTTAGCAGTGATAAATATGGCTCAGGCCTTGGGTGTGGGTTACTGGGATACTGCTGTTCGTGCCGGGGGCGACCGAGAGGACGAAGCTGCACGACGTCCTCTCACACGCGCTCATCGTAGTGAACACAATAGGCCCTACGTCCTGTCGGGGCTCAGACCTAATGAAATGTATAAACATTCGCGGGCAGATACTGTGTAATCAACTCCTTGTCTACATGTTCATAGACATGTTTAATGCCATACTGTGTTATGTTCCACACAAAACAACATTATCTCCATGGAGAAAAGCAGAAAACAAAATACACATCACAAAAATGACACACTTAGACCAAAGATCACTTGTTATTTCTCCTTTATTAAATAATAATAACATTAAAAAAGAAAGTTTTCTGTACAAAGTCTACAAACAACAGTTGAGTTTCTGGCCAGTGCCGTCGATGTGAGTGACGGATGTGGTGTGTGTTTCTATGACGACCAAGAGGTAATACTTAAACAGACGGGAGTAAATATATTTGAATGAAGGCTTTATTTACCGTAAGTTACTGTAAAGAGTGAGAGAGGCACAAAACAGCTCCAAAGGCACTTGGATATAAACGTGCATTAGATTCAACTCCTCCTATACATCCTTCCATATAATGTGTTCTTGATTCAATTCACCGTCATTGTAAACTTTTGATGGCTGTACTTATAAACAATGTACTTTTTGAGCACCATAATGCACAGTGACAGTAGTGTTAGGTTCACATACATTATAATTTTGATATTGATATTATTATTATTATGAAACGAATTATAACGAATTGTTGAAGTTGATGAAATGCAGAATTTTTTTGCAAAACACTGAAGTACTTGCTGAAGTATTTGAATGTATGATAATAGTTAACATGCTAGACATAGAACAACGTGCTATTTTTAGGGATGCACCAATTTCGATATTGTAGCTTTAAGTATTTGCCGATACCTGATATCAACAGATACCCGTGCAGAAACACAAAACAGCATTTACTTCCTTTAAACAAAAATGAAATAATACCCAAATGTGCTATAGCTGTTGTGTATCCATCAATTCTGAGACTTTCTGGGGTAAGTACGACTAGTAAACAGTCTTATTACATCACTTTATCCAAACAGGATATCTGAAGATGATAGCTGATCAAGCATATTTTCCAGGATCGGTGCAGATTTCAGGCACCAGTATCAGATCGGTGCATCCCTAGTTATCTGTGCAGAAGAAGACTTAAGTTTATAGTTATTATTAATTAGCTCATTGATAATTCATTACAAGTTGTCTTAACCCCACAAGTCGGCCATGTTGTTCACAATCACTATAAAAGCCTGCACCTTTAAACTGGCACAGAACACAGTCATTTTGCAGTTTATTTTGCACATTTTGTCATATTTGGGTTTTTATATTTTTTTCTGAACGTGTCTCTCTCACTCTCTCACCACTGAACAGCCTCCATTTGCATTATATTTGATTAAGCTAAGCCCCAAACTGTACAGTGCAAAAATAAAATTCATCTCACTTTTACACTGTACCTCAGGCCTATATGCAATTGGGTATGTTTACATGCAAATAATCAGTTCATCAAAACTGGTAGAAAATAAAGCTGCCAAAACTAAATATAGTAAAAATGTGGGAAAAGTCTGTTTTTTATGTCTAAAATATAATATACTATTTCCAATGCAAGAGGTAGGTGGACATTTAAACCAGTGAGGTCTAAAGGGTCAAACTAAGAGCTTATGAATTAGTCTGACCCCAAGCAGGGCTGCTACTGTCTAATAATAATAATAATAATAATAATAGTTTTTTATGTATGATGAAATGTATTTTTGTTATGTTTGAACTCATAAGTGAACTCTAATACATAAATGGATGTTACGAATGCGGCAACCCTGAGAAAATATGACTTTTATGGGGGCACTAGTCTTTATTTGGCACTGGTTTGAGCCCAGTTTAGCCTGAAATAGACTTGGTTTGGTTCTAATCAAGGTTTAGTCCTGGTTTAGTTCTGGTCTAGTCCAGGTTTAGCTCTGGTTTCAGTTTCAGTTTAGTCCCAGTTTAGATTTTTGAATTGTGAGTTGTGTGTTGAATTTGTAAAGAAAAGCTTGTTCAAAAGATTAGTTATTAAGACTTTTCAATACTGATAATAACAAATCAATAAATGTTCATACATTCATAGTTTTGAGTTCACCCTATGAACCAAACCGACCTGATACTATGTTATATATTAATATGGTCGAAGATAAATCTTGCATTATATACAGTAATAGTTATTTAAAATGGGGCATATAGGTCCATTTTGCAAACATCTTTCGAAATAAAACTACTATCACATTGATTGCATGTAAACATACCCAAGTCTCCACTGTTATGAAGTGCATGTATTTTATCTGTGTATTTACACTGCATTCAAAAGTCTGGACACACATTTTTGTTAAGCATTTTTTCTACATACTGAAGATATCAAATATATGAAGTAAGAAGTATGGGATTATGTAGCAAAGATTCATTTAGATTCCTCTAAGTAGTCACCCTTTGCTTTGTCAATAGTACTGCAAACATTTACAAAAAAGGGTGACAATTTTAAAGAATCTAAAATATAAAACATGTTCTGAGTTATTTCACACCTTTTTGTTTACTACATTTCACACGTGTTCATTCATAGTTTTGATGTCGTTGTGTGAGAATCTACAATGTAAATAGTCATGAAAATATGGGGGAAAAAAGCCCATTAAATTAAAACACGTGTCCAAACTTTTGAGTGTGAGTGCTTGTGTATATGTGAGTTTTCAGTCTTTCCCACAGCACTGGCCCTCTTCAATGGCTGTCCTCCGATACAGCGTTATACTGTAGTTAGCTTAAGGCTCATTTGTGTCCAAGAAAGTTGACGGGACCACTCTCCTTCGTTATAAATCCTTCATTCTTTCTTTGATCGGTGGACACAAGGATGAGATGGTTCGGTCCATTTGACGTCCACCAATATATAGACCTTTCTTTGTCTTCTTTGGCAATCCATAGGTTGCAATAAAAACAATCACATGACATTTTTCCACACAGTGTCTGTCCATAATTGGGGAATTGGAAAAGCAAAAAAATATATATGTTTACCAAAGACAGACTCTAGAATACTGAATCTAAAGCACGACTCCATAACAGCATGTTAGATTAAGATAAACCTCTGATTTTCTGTCTATTCTCGACATTTCCTTTACGCCAGAAAGCAACGCAAAATGTGGCAAAAGAAATACAGAGATCAGTCAAAACATTATGACAAATACTATATATAATGACACTTTTAACTCACTTTCTATATAGTTTCTTGAACTGAAAAGTGTCTTGAATGGGACAATATTGGTTATCCTTCATTACTTATGAGTGAACCTTGCATTAGTTGACCACTGTTCCTACTTTAGAACAGAAAAACCCATTTCTAAACCAGTATGAAACCAGGCCTAAACCAGGTCTAACCCAGGACTAAACCAGGTCTAAAGCACCTCTGATGAGCCATAACCACTGTACTGACAAGGCATCACCCAAAATCTGGTTTAACCCAGGACTAAACCAGGTCTAAACGACTACAAACCCAGTTCTAAACCAGTACAAAACCATGTCTAACCCAGGTCTAACCCAGGACTAAACCAGGCCTAACAAGTACAAACCCAGTTCTAAACCAGAACAAAACCAGGTCTAACCCAGGACTAAACCAGGTCTGAAGCACCTCTGATGAGCCATAACCATTGTACTGACAAGGAATCGCCCAAAATCTGGTCTAAACCAGTTCAAAACCAAGTCTAACCCAGGTTTATACAAGTATGTACCCAGTTCTAAACCAGTATGAAACCAGGTCTAAACTAGGTCTAACCCAAGACTAAACCAGGTCTAAAGCACCTCTGATGAGCCATAACCACTGTACTGACAAGGAATTGCCCAAAATCCGGTCTAACCCAAGACTAAACCAGGTCTAAACCAGTTTGAACCCAGGTCTAAACCAGGCCTAAGCCAGGACTAACCCAGGTCTAAAGCACCTTTGATAACTACTGTAAACTGCAGCTGGTTTGATCCAGTTATATGGTCGTCTACAATCTTCCTTCCTTATTTATTAAAATGTTAAAGAAAAATAACCAATAACTCCTTTATTTATATTCTGGATGTTATTATAAAGTGAACATTTGTGGTCTTAATGCTTTGTCTGATCACTGTCACTTCTAACTTGAACCATGGAGTCAACACAAGCTAACGAAAATCTAAACAAAAATGTCGCATAGATCTCTACAGGGCGTTACGAACTTAAGCCGACATCTTTTTTATCTGAGGACACGAGTCTACAACAAAAACCTTACTTTTCTATGCCACTGGATTCACAAAGCGCGGACTGACGAGGGAGGTCGCTATAGCAAGCTCCCCTAAATGTTTATAACTCATATATATAAAAAAACAAAACAACCGATGACAATGTCCGTTCTTTTCCATCTAAAATCTAGTTAGCGACATCTGATAGACTTCTATAGGCATTCACTTGATATGTCTTGACCCACTTGAAGCTTGGAGGCGCTCTGCTATTTTGGCACAGTATTGAAAACTTCATGCAGTATCACAACCTAGCCCCATCTGACTGTGCTGCCATTTTTGTAGTCCAAAACGTCCAGATTGTCACCATGGGGGTTGTAAGTCCATTTCCTCCTCTTGTATAATGTATAGGCTTCAGGCTGGTGGTAGTGGGTTTTTCACGATTCAAAAACGGTTAAAATGTTCATTCCTTCATTCATTCACAGGCTTGCTTGCAGGCAAAGATCTAGTTTGAGGCCTCATAGGAGATAGAAGATCCCGTAGACTCGCACAGGAGCTGGGACGACCCCCCTTTTTGGACATCAGCGGTATAGCAGGTACATTGAGTTACATAGTGCTTGTCGATTTTCATTGTTCAAATAAAGTTCTCAAGTTTTCAAGCTTCGGAGCAACATCTCTGCTGGTTTATCTTCACTTTATGCTTGATGCCGTCGTACAGTTCGAAGTTATAATTCTCCAGCGTGGTTGAAGACCGCGATGATAGACCGCTGTAGGAGCAGGTGCAGTAGAGGAGGAGGCCGGCGCAGATAGCTCCGAGCAGAACGCCCAAGGAGCTCATTACGATGATGGTGAGGAGGATGGGGTCCAGAGTGTAGAGCCAGGCGTTGTCTTTGTCTTTCTCCGAGACCACGGTGACAGAGGAGGGGGCGGAGTCGGAGGAGGAGGGGGTGGAGAAGGAATTCCAGCCAGGGAATACATACTCTGGAAAAAGAAGAGAGAAACATGATCAGTGGCTATGTTTACAAAAATCTGAAGGACAAGAATGAGAGAAAAGAATGTATTGTGCTTTTTCTTCCAAATACACACTTAAATACACAGGGTTTGTGAGTTAAAAATGTGTGAATGAAACAAAACACAACTCCAGGTCGGTTTGTGATAAAGAAACAACATTATAACATAGATCAGAAAATAGTGTAATATGGGTGCTTAGGTGCATGTTGATAGATTACATACATATTTTTTAACTCCATGCTATAGATGCTTTTGTGTTACTGGAACCCAAAAGTTAAGTGTGAAATGTGTGTTTTTTTTTAAATTTCAACTTACTATCAGTATACTATTAGGGATGGGCATTCAATTAAATTTTCCTAAGCGATTGTCGGGAGAATTAACGTTTGATTTTCGATCAATCATTAACGTTTTTAAAATTATCATCATTATTATTACTATTATTAATCTGCATAAATAAACTCAACTTTACAACATATAAACCATAACCACTATAGAGCCACATCAGCCCGTTTGGGATTATAATGTGTTTAATCCAGCTTTGCAAACATTTGTTTACGTTTTACAGACACAAAACTTAAAACTGCATGGCTCATTTGCATAAACTATAAGCACTGAAAAAAACTGCTCTTTCCTTGTGTGTTGATGCATCAGCTTCTGTTGGACTAAACAATACGACTTAGTGGAATATGTGTGTTCTTTCTGCGACAGAGGGATGTTGATGATGATGATGGTGAGTCTGTTCTTTTCGTATGTCACATTGGAGATAGTTCATGTTTTCAGAGATCAGACGTGTGCAGGTTTAGTGCAGCTCTTTATTTAACAGTCATTTCACTCACTTTATTTATGTTGGTCACATTATTTATTTTGGCTACTGTTGTGATGGAAAGACTGAAAAGTGTTTGTCTTTTGGATGCATGTGCACTCAACTTGAAGTTGCAGTAACTGGGATACTGTGTAAACATGCACCATGACGAAACCGGGATACTCAAAAAACCCGATCATACCTGGAACACTGATGTGCATGTAAACACACTCACTGAGTGGTACAGTGATCTCCAAGGAGCCAGAGCCCAAACAGCCCAAAAGGGACTGTGAGGCCACAACTCCAGTGTTGGTGCTGTCCTTACACTACGCTACGCACAGCAACTGACGTTTGGTTTGTCGATTAAAAATGAATGTGATTGACGAACTTCTTAATGATCAATTATCAATTTGTCGACTAATCATGCCCATCCCAAGCCTATATTATGCTATTTTCTGATCTGTGTTATAAAGTTGTTTCCTAATCATAAACATCCCTGACAGGAAGTGCTCCACTGCCAAACTCCACAGAACAAAAAGTAAAAGGCAGCTGTTCACTTGAAAACTAACACTACATGACATCATAAGGTGGAACAGAGCACTTTGAGCTTCGGAGATGTAAAGAGTTTAATAATGGAGGCACTCAAACATGTGTGAAAGAAACAAAACAGAACTCTGGGTATGTTTTTGAGGAGGTAACAACATTATAACATGGCCTAAAGCTCACAAGAGTCAGCTTTGAGCAATACAGGACTTTTAACTAAAACTACTACTACTACTTTAATATATATATGGCTGTAAAATTAAATGTGTTATTCACCTGTTATATCAAATAGTTTTCCAGTTTTGTTTTGTTGTTTTGTATATTCTTGCCTGCTTTGTTCCTGTCCTCTCCCTTGTCCACCCTACTCTTCCCTCATAAACCCATTGTGCGTAATTGCAGTTGTGCGTCTTCATGTGTGTACATTCATTTAGCGGATTAAACATGGCCGCGTGCACCTGTCACTAACCACTCTGCACAAAGCACCTTAGCGCTCACTCATTTCACATGCTAATGCTAATTCTTCACCCTGCGCTAATAACTAAAAATCCGGTTTGGGAGATTTGTTATTGTTTGTTTTATCTGTGGCGATGGGAACAGTTCCTCCCCGCAGACGACGTGTTTATCGCTAAGGCGTTTTTCTGACAGCTTTTAGACGCGCTTGTTGTCAACGCGATCGGCCGTGAAATTCATTCAAGTGATATCTCTGAGCAAATATTATTAAAATCTGAAAATGACAATCACAGAAACAGAGGAGTTATTTATAGATTACAGTGCCATACTCGACGTGGGGATGAGCTGAATGATTAGAATATTGAAAGGCTTTAACTTTTACATCAGATGCCCTCCCCACTTTCATTCATCCAGGTTTGAAGTTGGCTTTATTATAATATCCTTAAAGGTGCACTGTGTAACTTTTCTGGTGCTTGTCTTCATGGAAATGTTATTGCTTTGTCTGGAATGTTTCACAGTATAAACCTAAGTCACAGGTCAGATCTGTGGAGAGGCGACCCCACTCACAGTCACATTGTATGATGCTTTTATTCTTAAGGAAATAATAATACACTAAATAAAATATGAAAAAAGGGTAGTAACATGTCTCAAAACGTTGGGTCATGGAAACAACTAGACCAAATTTTAAAAAATTTATATCAGTGGTTCTTTTCAAACAAAGTATGAAAATATTTATCTCTCACATCTAAACTAGGACTAAACCAGGTCTAGACTGCACCATTTCAGACGTTTTAAATAAGGACAAATGTAAAGGATGAGAAACATGTGGATAAAATTGAGTTTAAATAACTTAACCAACGAAGGGGATTCTGTGTACCACAAGTTTGTGTACCATACTTGGAAAACCACTATTTTACACCGTGGTGTGACGTCATCGATGTGACCTACACCAGGACTAAACCAGAACTGAACTAGGACTGAACCACAACTAAACCAGTGCTAAACCAGGACTAAACCAGGAGTAAACCAGGTCTAAACCAGGACTAAAGCAGGACTAAACCAGGTCTAAACCAGGACTAAAAGGACCAGGTCTAAACCAGGTCTAAACCAGGACTAAACCAGGACTAAACCAGGACTAAACCAGGACTAAACCAGGACTAAACCAGGTCTAATCCAGGACTAAACCAGGACTAAACCAGGTCAAAACCAGATCTAAACCAGGACTAAACCAGGTCTAAACCAGGACTAAACCAGGACTAAACCAGGTCTAAACCAATAATAAACCAGGTCTAAACCAGGAATAAACCAGGACTAAACCAGGACTAAACAAGGTCTAAACCAGGTCTAAACCAGGAATAAACCAGGACTGAACCAGGACTAAACTAGAACTAAACCAGGACTAAACCGGGTCTAAACCAGGTCTAAACCAGGACTAATCTTGGACTTGAGAGTGAGAGAGAGAACCCTGAGCCCGAGAAGCAGGTGGGTTTAGTCCTGGTTTAGACCTGGTTTAGTCCTGGTTCAGTCCTGGTTCAGTCCTGGTTCAGTCCTGGTCCCTCATGTCTCAGCTCTCTATAGGACAGCAGTGCAGATATCATGAGCCTATGCAGGTTGTTTTCACCATTGCCAGTAACTCCGGTTTGACATTTAAGTTGTAGACTATTTTATATTTGTTATTTTTTCATATTTCACGTCGGGAGAAGTGGGTGGACAGCGTACCCCCGCATACCCATGCTCACTACACCCCTGATTTTACACCATTATTATGTCTTGGATTAAAAAATATTCAATCCATATTTTTAATTTCTCTTAGATTATATGTCTATGCTTTATTCTATTTACAGTCTACAGCCAACCTCCCTTAAGTGTTTAAATCTCCACCGGGCAAAGTCTACGAACGCTCATAGTGATCTGTAACCATTTCAGACACATGTTCTCGGGCCTAGAGGAGCCTGTCTGACTCACTTTGTCTATTTCTAACACGTTAAAAGCAGAAAAACATCTCTCTACATGTACACCAGTGCACTTTGAAATCCTCTCCACTGTACCATCACTCCAGACTGGGGTTGTCACGTTGCCTGAGGAGGTGTGGGTTTCTTATGGGGAATCACGAGTGCGAGATAGGGCCACAGGCAAGCCCATAGTCGCAGCTGTACTCGAAGGAATAGACTTTTAAAATAGCTGGTAGTGCCGCGAGCGTGCAGGAGGCAGTGAGAGCAGGAGAGAGAGAGAGAGGAGAAGGAGAAAAGTGTAAAAACCTTCTTCTATGGTCGGGCGGTTGAAAACGGGGTCTTTGCCGAAATCTATTGGCCTCGGGTCTGGAAAAGAATAACAGAAAGAGAGTTTTAATGTTTGGTGATGAGCTGTAAATGATGCTATGCTATTTATAAGTATAGACAAAGAAGTACATTGGTTCTAACTACAACAAAAAACATACAGAAAACATTGCAAATATGATTGAATATAGCTGTAATGTAAAGCTAAATCAATAGGAGAAAGAATAGTTAATAGAAAGGTGTTCTGCTAAAGGACACAACAGCAGTGTGCATAAGGTTGGGGTTGAAACATAGTGGGCTTAACCTCAGATTTTTTTTTTCTTCCAACAATTTGCACTTTTTATTCCCAATGTCCATCCAACCACAGTCAACCACTTACAGTAACTGCTTTTCTCCATGGTCATTGCTTTGCTCAGAAGTTTCCACAGTATGGCATTAAACTTATCTAATGTTGCAAATCAGATCTGCGGAGAGGCGCTCACAGTAAGAACAACAACAAAAACAGAAAACTACCTGTGATTAGATCAATTTAAGACTTGTGGAACATTCCAGACAAAGCAGTAACATCTCCATGGAAACAAGCGGGTGGCAGGCTCTCGACAAGAAAATTTACATAGTGCAGCTTTAAGAAGTGATTTGCAAGGGTGTAGGTTTGCATAGAAACGGTGGGGACATGTCACAACCAATATCTGGGGAAGACAAAATAGTCCCTACTAATATTTGCCATTTTATTTTAATAAACAAAAATATAAATTTATTCAGTTACTTTTCCAAACTCAATAGTATTAGTTTAACACGTTTTAGTTCACATTTTGTTTATTAGACATTCTGAGATGTATTCAGTGATGCCACTATTTCATTGGCTGTTAACACAGTGATGTCATTAGTGGTGCCAGGAGCCTAAACTGGGGAAGCGGCAGGACAGTACCAGCACCTGAAGATCGCGGCTTGAGCAGGCGTGAGTGAAGACACTGCGCACCAAACTTTGAAAAACTTTTCAAAAGGAACTTACTTGGCTTCATCTTCAATTAAACTTGCCTTATAATCAGTCGCTGTGGAAAAAGAGCGACTATCACCGCAAGTGCACCTACCAAACGGAGCCCTACTCGTGCACTGTTTGCAGCACGACTCTATTAACAATATTCCATGGAAAAATGTTTGACATGACCTCACAAATATCTCATCACCAACAAGCAAAGGGAAATCTGCAACAATCTTCTACATCACTATTATCTGTGAAAGAATCATCTTAGAAGGGCAATTGACACAAACTCTACATTTTGTGGACTGAAAAATGAAACCACCTCTTACTTATTTTGGATCTGCCCAGACTCTGTGTGTTTATGGAAAGAATTCATAAAATATATACACAACTTCTGATCCCATTTTATCCTTTCTTATAAAGATGTGCTGTTTGGTTTTTGCAGTGTGCACCATATGAAAAGTAAACAAGTAATAAAAAAGTTAAGGGGGGTTTAGATGATAATGTCCCCACCAAAGCTGAGACCAAACCTACACCTTTGATGATTTGCTATATATGAGAACAGCACAAGGCAGGAATTGAACCGAAAACTTCATGTTCACATTCGCAAGAAACAGCAATACAATTTACACTCTTCAAAAGTTACTACTGCAAAACTCACTCCTAAATAACATATGTAGGAGCACAAGCAGCTTTGCAAATTCACTTTTTTGTTACTTATCACACAAAAAAAGCACCAAGAATTACAGTTTCCAGAGATTACCTGCAGAAAGTGACACGTTTTATTATGCGAGGCGTGCTTTGCTTTTTGACTTTGCTCAGAAACGACTCAAAGACGCGGTGACGGTAAAAGGCTGCGAAGAAACTGTAAGCCATTCACCACAAAATACCACTATTATTTCTTTACTAACACGCTCCTTTGCTCCAATATGCTGGAATTTAACTAGCTCCAGTGGCTCTTTATACTTTCAAGTGCAGAGCGAGAGGTTCGGAGGCTGCTTAAATTCGGTTTATTCAGAGAAATTGATATTAAAATCCTTTTGGGGAGAGAGGAAAACGTAGACAGCTGCATACAGGGGCAAAGGAAGCAAAAACACATTATAGAGCAGTGAAAGCGTAATAGATATTCACAAAGATAAGAGGTGAAAAACTCATTTAGCCGATATGAAAAAAGATACCAAGGCTCATTTCCGCTGCCAGATAAGGTCATTTTTCTATTAGGGATTTTAACATGTGCTGTGTCTACTGTGGACTGCTATAAAAAGACTATAGGAACTTCAAATACTCATTATGCATTTGAATGGAGGGCAAAAACAGTCTAACAGTCTACAATAGAGGAATATAATGAGGAATATATTAGGCTTAATTTGAATTATCTTAACACAATATATGCTTTCAATTCTTTCCATTTGTGTGCCTGCATAATTTATTGTGTTTACTCAAAAAGACAGGTTTTCATTTTTTTTTCTTCTAATCATTACTTTATTTGATGAGATGGTACCTATAGTCAAAATTATGTAGTACTATGAAATACTTTTGTAGGCAGTCCATGATTCATTTCTCATTCTACATTTGAAGGTGAACTGATTAAGAAGACATAGCAAGTTGTATTTTGATTGCAAAATGTACAACTTTTTCAGCCTGCGCTCTGAAAATTTTAAATGTGTACCTTTTGCCATCATAATATTCACATAATTGGCTATTGTTTTTTCACCCATTTTTTTTCTCTGTTATTATTTTTCCTTTCCTTGATTGCAACTTTGAGGGCCTAAACGTCGCCGAAAAATCCCAAAACAGGGACTGACTGGTCCAGTGAAAAATTTGATGAAATGAGCATCACAACAATGTGCCGCCTAGAAGTGGACCCCTATGGGAGTGAGGACAAGCAAAGTTTGGTGTAGGCAAACATAATTTGGAACAGTAATAGCGACCAATAAGACAAGCTAAAAGTTGAACTGGTGCTTACCCCTATGATGAACAGAAAGTCGGGATCAAAAAATTTGCCACCGTTTTGACTGCTTGTTGATAAAACACTACTAGATCCTGGTTTTTGGTTCAAATGTGCTCACATTTGGCACGTCACATCTACAGATATAGGTTCACAAAAATTATCAGATTTTGGGGGGATATTCTGTACAATACCTTAATTTCCTGTTTCTTTGATGACTTTTCACGGCATGATCCTGCCCCCCTTCCCATCCCCCCCAAAAAATCGTACATGCGCATGCTTAGTCCAATCATGCTGAAATTTGAATCACTAACGCGTGATCTCGACCTGAATATAAAGTATTATGAAGCGTATGACAAGTATGACATGGGGCATTTTTCACCGTTGGCCAGCAGGGGCGCAACGACTCCCCCAAAAATATTTAAAAACATTTTACACGCACATGCTTAGTCTGATCATGCTGAAATTTGAATCACTAATGCATGATCTCTGCCTGAATATAATAAATGCAGAAAAAAAAAAAGTATTACAGGCATGGAGCATATTTTACAGTTGATCAGCAGAGGTGCAAAAAAACATTTAAGGTGCATTGTGTAATTTTTCTGATGGAGGATCTGTTGGCTTGAGACGTGCACTCCAGGGTCCAGGGCCATCATCACAGCAGCTTTAATCACGTTTTAAGTTTAGTTTTAACTTTGGTAAGACAGCCCCTACTTCATAATGAATACAACATCTTGGTATGCATATTAAATTTCAAAATTATGAATTAAATGAATATGTATCTTTTCTTGTAGAAGGCTCAGCATCTGCTTGTCTCCATAAAAGTTATATTGCTTTGCTTGGAATGTTCCACAGTATGACATTAAACAACTGGCAATGCAATAAGATTTCTAAATAAAGACAAGTTTGTAGTTGTTCACACATTATAAAGTACGGCATAAAGAAGCTGTCTCATCCACGCTGTTTAATGATACTCTTTTAAACCCTGGGGCCCACCATGTTAAGCAGAAACATCCAACTGATTTCAAAGCAGATTTTCTTCCCCAATTGGTGCAAGAATAAGGCATTTTGGGTTCAGGCGAAAACACAGATATCTACTGACTCCATTAGATTAGGCCTGGGGATCATTTTGAACAGTTTAGATGTGTTATGCCACTACAGCAAGTCCAAGGAGGTATGAGGAATGAATTTGAGATTGCAAATCTGCCCGCAGACCAGAAATGCTTAGCACAGACTTTTATGAACGCAATCGAGTCCATTAACTAATGAGAAATATTAAAAAGCTTTAAAGTGGAGCGTGATGGAGGAGGCCTGGGTACAGAGGAGTGATTTAAAATGTCGAGAAGATGCCAAGACGTTTTCCAATTCTTGCAAAAAGTTTGACTGGATGAAAAGATGAAAAGTGCGCGAGTAGCACAACATAAATACGAGCACATATCGTTTGTCTGTTTGAGAAGCGGTGAGCATTGATTGGCTTATGGCATCGCCCACAACAATGACTCATAATGCGTGTAAATCAGAGACTGGTCAATGCCAATGGCGGCCGTACAGAGTTCAGAGCAGGGGAAATCATAAGCAAGCACTAAAAAAGTCAAACAGTTGTGGAGCAAAGTGAGAAATGAGCCTTGTATGAACTGGAATAAGTCAATAATATGCAGAGGTAAGGATTTGTCTTATTTACAATGCTATACTGTGGAACATTTCAGGCAATATCCTAGTTTACAAATTTAGAGAAACTCTGGTGTTCTAAGCAAATTTGAAATGTTTAATAACTGCATTTATATATAAAAAAGAAGAAGTTCAAATTAGTTCATATTTTGACAGTGTAAATGCATCCCAATTATTTGTTATGCAACAAAACCCATATTTACTACTAGTGTACATCCCAATGTCAATACAAACAGGTCTAAAAACAGGTCTAAAAACAGTATAAAACAGGTCTAAAAACGGTCTAAAACAGGTCTAAAAACTGTCTAAAACACACCTAAAAACAGCTCTAAAACAGGTCTAAAAACGGTTTAAAACAGGTCTCAAAACTGTCTAAAACACGCCTAAAAACAGGTCTAAAAACTTGTCTAACACAGGTCTAAAAACAGGTCTAACACAGGTCTA